GAGTTGCAATAGTGGAAAACATGGGACATATATCAATGTCAGTGTAAACTACTTGTACCTGATGGTGACAAAAACCTTGTCAAAACGTTATTAAACTTATATTAAAGTTTTTCTTCATTACCCATTCAAGCCTTCTCCAAGCATTATGTATGAAATATGTTTGTTTTCTAATTACTATACATGATAAAGATGTCAATGTGGATGGATTTTCCAGTTCATATCACTACAAATCAATACCCACCTGTGTAATTGTTTGTGTAACATCTTCACATGTTTTATCAGTACAACAAGGAGAAGAAAACTAAAAAGGAACAGTAATTGCACAACGTGTTGATGATTTATTTTTATTAATCTAAAATCGATATAAAGTTGCTGCTTTTAATGTGAAGTAACTGTGTCTAGCTATGTTCAAAAACATAAGTATGGGGGTATTAGAAAGAGTTGTGTCAATACCTCACTAGTAGTAACCTGCATCTCAATATTTGTACAATGAAGTGTAAATGTTTGTTTTATTTTTCATTCATGAGCCCTATGAGGCAAACTGCAATAATTTATTTCTATGTTTCAAAATATTAATTGGTTCTCATACAAAATTGTTAGATTTTTTTAATACACGTGTTGTTTATTTAGTAAAACTGTTTTCTAAAATAAAACAATATTTTAACACTCTTTGAAAGCTTAGTTATCTTGATCTGTAACAAATACAGGGTGTCCCAAAAAAATGTATTCACACGTTGAATGATTATAAATACAATGTTTATTAAGATATATCTAAGTTTTATAATTCAATTTAAAGAAGACAAGTGTAGAACCTTTTAGAACCCATAACTCACTTAAACTTTTTTTTTTTACAGGTGCAACTGAGTTGAAGTAATGGCAGAAGCAAGACTAAGTTTTGAGAAAAGGAAATTTATCCTAAGGTGCTACTGGAAGTGCGAGAACGTAGCTGAAGTGCAAAGACTGTTTAGAAAAGAGTTTCAAACAGATCCACCTACGCGACTCACCATTACTCGCATCAGAGATAAGTTTGAAACAGATGAAACTGTTAAAGATGTCCACAAAAAAAAAAGCGTTCTGGAAGACTGCGGTCGCCCACCAGTCCTACAAGAGAAGCAGGGCTGCTGGAAAGTCTCCACCGATCTCCAAGAAAATCTGTTCGGCAAGCTGCCCGTGAGACAGGAATCTCAAAATCGAGTATCCATCACATCTTGAAGCACGTTCATTGGAAAAGTTTTATTCCGGCATTAGTCCACGCCCTCAACGAAGATGATCCTGACCGGAGAGTTGAACTTTGTGAGTGGTACCTAGCAAAATGTGCAGAGGATGCACAGGTTCCAAACAAGATTGTCTGGAGCGATGAGGCCACATTTAAGTTAAATGGCTCAGTTAAGCACCACAATTGCACCTACTGGGCACCTCTGAACCAGCATGTTACGATTGAACACCACGTAAAGTTACCAGGGGTTACAGTGTAGTGTGGATTATCAGCGATGGGCATAATTGGACCATTTTTTTTCGAAAACACAGTCACTGGTGCTGTTTATCTGAACTTGCTGCAGGAATTCGTCATGCCACGCATTCGAGAGCAATTTGGAAATGAGGAGTTTTATTTCCAGCAAGATGGAGCACCTCCCCACTACCATCGTGATGTGAGGGTCTATCTTGATGAAAATCTGTTGAACAGATGGATTGGGCAAAGAGGTAGCACTGAATTCCCCCCAAGTTCACCAGACCTCACACCACTAGACTTTTTTTTATGGGGATACCTCAAAGATAAGTTTTATAGCATAAAACCTGCAACAATCAATGAGTTGAAAGCAGCAATTGAAAGAGAATATGCCAAAATACCAAATGAAATGAACTGTGATGTTTGCAATTCCATCTGTCATCGTTATCAGCAGTGCCTGGACCAGAACGGTCATCAGGTCGAACACCTGCGATAACTCAAAATATTCTACACTTGTCTTCTTTAACTTGGATTATAAAACTCAGATACATCTTAATAAACATTATATTTATAATCATTCAAAATGTGTATACATTTTTTGGGACAACCTGTATAATACATTTTAATATATTACTTGAAAATTAATTGAAAATAAGATTCCACCCAAAGTAGGATTAAAATCCCAGCTTTCAACTGAAGCTACCAACAATGATGCACCATCATAGACCATTATGCCTTTTCCTTATTTCACAGCCCCCCAGTGACACAGCTGTATGTCTGTGGACTTACAACGCTATAAACCGGGTTTTGATACCAGTAGTGGGCAGAGCACAGATAGCCCATTGTGTAGCTTTGTGCTTAACTTCAAACAAAATCCTTATTTCAGGTTTTCCATCTAAGTTCCTAAGTCAACAATTTTAAACTAGTGATTATTGAGAGCAATTCACCATTAAAATTATCAAAAATTTTAATATACATGATACAGTTGTTAATAATCTCTTGCTCAAATTAATATCTTTGTTTTGTGCCAATCGTCTTCTTTTTACTATATGTTTTGCCTCTTCAATAAGGAGAAGATGAACAATAATGTTAACACTTTTTGTCTGCTTATTTCTCATAATTTAAAACACATATGAAACTGTCGTTTTTCATGTGATGTAAGAATGTTTAGATCTGTCCAGAAACATAAGAATAGTGACATTTTAGCATTTGGAACAGACTGTGGCAATACCCCAGATTTGGCCAAAAGCTAATATTTTTTTAAACCTTCATTTTTGGAAATATTTCAACTCCGAATGTTTCCTCATACACTTATACAAGAAACAAAGTTCAAGGAGTATCTCTCCTAAAAGTGTAGTAATGTATCGCTCTATGTTAAAGATTTGTAAAATTGAGCCCCGAATTTTGGGTTAAGTTTAACGCTGAGTCAGCTTGGCATAACACCAGAAACAATCACAGCTATATCTAAAACATCCAATACAGTGCTATCATAACACCTCAAGGAAATTATGTAAAATTATGCGTATCAGTTTTTAGTAACAAAAGACAAATGTTTATGTGTTACAGGAAGTCTCAAAAACTGGGTCATTCTCAAGTTTTGGACAGTGGCCATTTTATCGTTTTTCCAACAATGGTGCTCCTATTGTCATGACACAGCTGAAAATTAGCTGTAACCCGTAATACTTTCAATAGTAACCCACATTAATAACTAATTTGCACAAGTTAGTTGATGTTTGTTTTAATGCAAGCTTGCACAATGGGTTATCTATGTCGTGTCAGGGGCGGAGATCAAATCTTGAAGCTTACCGCTGAGCTACCAGGAAACATTAAACAGTGATACATGACTATGTACTTTATGTCTCAGGAAAACTGGAAATCAATAATGTTATAACAGCTGCACTTCTGCTATTTTCATGGGAAAATAAAACAACCCAGGAAGTGGCACCGTGTAATATTTCAATTAGGTCATTTACATCCATGAATACGTGTATTCGCGGTCTAGAAAACAAACATAATGACACATAAAACAATGCTGACAAGAAAGTATACCCGTTACAATTTATAGCAACGTTACCTTAATTTACTTTTGTATTAATTGTTTCGAAGGTACATTTTAACGTGGGTAGAAATTGAACATATCTTTTTAAAAGAGGGCATTACCTTGCATAAAGTTCTAGATAAATTATCAGTAGGATGAAAAGATAAGCCATCAAACTGGAGTTACCTGTTTAAAAGAGCGGTGTTTTCCTGTTTAACTTTCGAGTAACGATCGTCGTTGGAGGACTGGTTCTCTGTTAAGGCAGTAACTTGGTGCTGCAGCATTTGGACCTGTAGGAAAGAACACGAGAAAGTGTTAAAACACTACGATTCACTGAAGCAAGAGCAAGCAAAATAGAACTAAGTATAACATCATAATGTTCATTACAAAGGTCACACAGAATACGCCTCTTTCATAGAAAATGCTATAACTATAGATACACAATATCTTTTCATCAGTCTGAAAAACGAGCATCATGAGGAAGAACAGCTCATATTATCTGGGTAAATATTCCAGAATGAAGTCTGTATACGTTGTTTCATACAATGCTAAAACGTTGGTTAGTGTTTAAAGAAAACTTGCATTTACAAAATTTAGCTTATTCCATTGTGACCAAAGAAAAAAAGTAAAAATAAGTAAATAGAGCAAAACTTCCCTTCTCCAACTGAAGAGTAGCAGCTGACAATATATAACTGTTATGCTGAATTAGCATAGAAAATCACTAGCTTTTAAAGATTTTACAAAGTTTGATATATTTGCTGTAATTTACTATCCATCGCGATGGTGCTTCATAATCAAGACGCTAGGCTACTGTCATCACATATTTTTTAATTACACAGATGCAGTAAACTTGTTGTTATACCAGTTAAAGATTTGAAAAACGTGTATACGCCACTTGAATTAGAACCTTTAGGCCAACTTTATCAGCCGAGATCTTTTGACGACCCTTTAATGTTCAGAATTTTTTTATAATTCACAACATTTTCCTATGATTCGATGAAGTTGTGTGGTATTTTCAGGTACACTGATTTCCTACAAAAAAAAAAAGGGTAGTAACCGTTCTAGCTTGAGGTTCAGCAGAAAATGTATTACTGAGTTAATCTGAATCCTGACTTGAATGAACTGAGGGAAAGCCTGGACATAAGTTTCACAGTGAACAAAAACACTACATTTATTATTAACAAACATAAGTCAAACAGTTACAATTCAACAAAGAAATGTGTTCATAAGATGAAACGGTCATATTTCTCTCTAAGTGTACGACAGGTCAATACTAAGTGAACATCAGGATAAAACAGAGAATCACCCACTATATACTTATTCGAATAGTGCCAAATATTCCACAGTGCATTTGTCAACCATAAAACCTGCTTATACCATTAGCAAAAATAGAGAGAAGAGTCTTAAGATATATCTTAACATCTGTAAGATTGGTGCGACTAAAGAACCCATTTGTACAAACCTAAGGACTTCTCCAGCGCCACATTTCACAGGGAAGTTAAAAAACACCAAAGAAAAACTACCCTTGGCAATGTGTGACTAGTACAAGACTGAGAGCAACGCGTGTATATACCAGTTACCTACACTCAACGCGTGTATATGCCAGTTACAGGCCTAGAATGTTTGACGGTCGCGTATGTCTTTAATTTCCATCTCATAGACAATACCAATCTCTCTACCTCACTTTCTGTACTAAAACAAAAATATTCAAATTGTTTGTCACATCTCCTGAAAATAGAATATTCCAGATATCAAAAGATGAAGTCCACTGTTAGAACTGGTCGATAACTACACAAAGGATAAGAGAAAAGATCAGCAACCTGAAAGTCGGATTATTCTTCACACATTATGATATATTATTATTATAAACTGAGGGAATGCTCATAGGACAAACTTTCAGAAAGGTTGAAAGTTGAGTTGTGGTATTAGCAATAAGTAAGGGGGCTAACCATTTATCTCAAACGGTAGAGCACCTTCAGACAGCTTTAACCGCAGGCTATGCAAAACGTTAATTACTACAGAATATTGCTTACCTTTTTATACGGTTAGCGTTATGTCAGAGACCAATATTACCACTCTATGTACTACTGGTAATAGTGTTATATTTTTGTCTGTGGTTAAGGCAAAGCTACACAATGGGATATCTGTGCTGTGCCCACCACGAGCATCGAAACCCAGTTTTTACCGGTGTGATCCTGAATCACTGGCGGGGCCTGGTTTTGTAAAAATGGTCAAGTCCAACAATTTTGTTTGTCAATGTGGGTTGCCTATGGAAAAGTATCTTCGTACGAAATTCTATGTAAATTGGCTGAAACAAGGCTAAGTAATTGATCAAAACCCCTAAAATTATGGATTTATTTAAACTTTGACCCCCCCCCTAAAGTGACCAAAAATGAGCATTCCAAACATTTTTGTATGTATTTGTATGGAGCCTGTAAACAAAGTAACTTCGTACCACATTTCATGTAAACTGGCCTAAATACAGTGGAGTGACTGTCCAAAAACCCTAAAATTATGGTTTTTGTGGCATCTTCACACCCTTATGATTACTAAAAATGGGCAAGTCCACTATTTTTGTTTGTCAATGTATGGGACCTGTATAAAAGTACCTTGATACCAAATCTCACGAGCTTTGTGAGCTTTGACCCCCCCCCCCTAAAAAAGTAAAATGGGCAAACCGAACCATTTTATACATCAATATGTTAGGTGCATGAAAATTTATATGTATGCCAATTTTCATCTTGATTGCTGTAGATATGACAGCACAGGAACCCAAAATATACATCATTTGACCTTTGGCCTCTTAACATCCTTAAAAAGACTTAAGTTAAAAAAATTGAAAAAAAGATGTCTGGGCGTATTGGACCAAAGTGTAATCCAACCAAGTTTCAAACCAATCCGCCGACAAATAAAGTAATAGCGGTCGATTGAAAAGTGTTTGGAAGAAGAAGAAGAAACAATAGAAAAACAGTATGTCACTCTTTGGGGACATAATAAGTCTACACTTTAAAAAAAACATTCACACTAAATAAATTGCACTAACTGCACTGCACTTAACGATATATGATATTAAAGAAACGCCCCTAACTGAAAAAGAGTGTCGTTAACTCACATGAAAAATGACGATAGAGAATACATCACAAACTAAACTATAAGAATACTGTTAAATACTTCTACTCAGTAAGAAATTATCCTAGCTTTTTAGTTTTGCAAACGATTTGTCTAATGCATTTATCAGGTCATTAGCACAAATGTCCATATCTTTAAAATGTATCTAAATAGTATTTTAAGTATTTATTGTTTTAAAACTAACTTATAATTGATATTTTCGTTTAAACGAGATTTTGGTGAAATTGTTAATCGCAACATTTATTACGTAAAGTATAATTTAGATGAACATTAGCGTTTGAATTAATAAGGAATGTAGAACTTTGTTTTTGGTTTCATTCTGCTAATAAAACTGCTGGCAGTTCTTGTCTTACAAAATATCTATTTTAGTCCAGCAGGAGTGAATGATTCATGTTTAGTTCAAACATTTCCATCGTAATTATACCTGCTCGTGTACAATGTGACAAACATCCAGGGTTTACTTGTGTACATGTAGTCATTTCTATTTTAGTCAGTCAGCTGTATGTACTAGGTACTTACTCACCCAGATAAAGATCAAAACTTATATGTACATTCACATGGTGAAAAGAGATACCATATTTTATGGCATACCTTCTGATTGAGGTCCATGACGTCATCTTCCAGTGACATATCTGTATACATATCTTCTGTAGAGTCACAGCTAATGGAGCTCCTCCTACTACTTGATGGGTTAGCATGACTGTTTGGAGTGCCACTTCGAAAAAGCTGGCTAAATAGATCCATACAAATGTATTTCGAATCATAAGTATACATTTTCATTATCTATATCACGGATAAAAAGCATTTTCCAAAACAGTTTTTTTATAGGCCTAGATAAGTTACCTTATATATGACAAATGAAAATGAGTATTTTTTTTCTACTGAACTTTTGTTCTGCATCCGGTATTTCTCATGCGACAAAAAAATTTTACTATTATATAAGAGGAAAAGAGCATTACTGTAGCGTGTGTTCTAAAATATACAATACCATCTACTAGACGCGTTGTGTTTAAATCATCATACTTCCAAAAAGTTTTATATATGTATTTAAACTGGAGATATTACAACATGATTTAGGCAAGTCAAAGTGAACAAAACACAGTAACACGAATCCACAAACATAACTATCCTCACTAACCACCAGATTATATAATTACTATACTGGTAAAAATCAAATGTTGGAGAATGGAGGGACACTGATAAAGTTTTTAAGTTGATTAATCATTTTATCAGGTTTGTGCTCATAGCTTTAAATAAACCATTAAGACGTTAATCTTAGGCTGTGCCAGTAATATCAGATGCTTTAGCGAAATGCTGCAAGACAATGGGTCGCACATGATGGTTCGTGATGATAAATCTTTCAGGGTCATTTGAAGATAGACGCTAGAGGGCAGGATGTGCCGTATTTATTTATTAGTTAGTGTTACTTGTGTAGATAGTATTCATCTATATTTTATAATGGTCACACAGACGATCAAAACGTTTTACAGATAAAATATTCTTATTTTAACCCACAATAGCAGCTGATGTTCTAATATTAATGTAATTGATCTATTTATATAGAGATTTATCTTATGCTGGTTTTCGAAAAGATAACGCAAAAGACAAGGCACGAAGTCCGAAAAAGCTTAAATTATGTTAGGCCTATTTATTGCTCAGTAATGTTATGAGAATTTCGAAGCTTAACGAACCAAATGCCTTTTTGTTTTCAATGTATTCATTACTTGAAGGCCTATTACGTGTTTGTTGTTTTTACTATAATTGTTATCTTTAAGCATTTCTTCCAGCGTTTTGTCAAAACAACAAACTATGTATGTTGTTTGGATGACAAGTAAATTCAAATATTTTGAAATGTTTTTTGATCTGAGTATTTTTTTTATTTGTTTCATATAATAACAAAAATAACTAACTAACAGACATTCTGCATATGAACAGTAAATAAAATAATGGTAATATCTGTGACTGATGAAAGAGTATTTGAAGATTTTTTTTTTGTCAGTGTTGACAATATTTTATGGTTGTATAACTTAGATTAATGAAATGAGTCACGTAGTCGTTATCTAAATGGGCCTTTTGACAGTACTTATGGTTAATATTATCTATTCTTTGTTTTGGCTATCCAATCATTACCACAAAAGGTTTTCTTCAGTTAAAATATAGTGGAAGAAAATTTCCAATGAATACATAATTAATCATATCCCTTTGCCAAGAATACACATTGACGTTTATTATGAAATCAGTATTTCTTCTTTTACTATACTTTTAGACATGAATATATTTATTTGCGTTAATAATCTAACTGTATACATCAGAACTAAAATAATATAACCTTGTGATTACCAGTATGTACTCATAGTTTTTGCTTTGGATCACATTTTTGTCCAGCGTATTATTATAATTAATTAAATACTACTCATTTTTTCATCACATCTCAGCCATACTATGAAAACTCAGACCTATAATGATTACACTTTATTAAACCACCTGTTAACGACATTTTTGTCTCTAATCTCAGTAACACCACACGAGATTCGACCAACTTAGGAGATATAGGCTAGTCTTAAATCCACATATTTAACAACGTTAAATATTCTTCATAAATGCATTTAAAATTCAAAACAATATAAATGTTAGAGCTAATAAAATATAATAAAACTGACTATAGAGAGAAACAGGATGTAATTTACAAAGCATATTTACTAAAGCCGTTTACTAGTTTACCTTATATTTTACTGTAATGGATGTAGGAATTCTATCTATGCATCCATTTTGGAACAATCATTCTGACGTAACTACAATAACTACTGTTTTTAAGGATAAATTTCCTTATATTATCATCAAACATTGACTTCCAAATATATTGTCCGGTTCGCTTGCATTATCAGTTTCAAGTCACTGTATTATAGACTTAGATTTTCTGTTATCAGGAAAGGTATTGTTACGTCTCCGTTCGTTAGTTGATTTTCCGTAACTTCGTTCCGACGAAACTTTAGCGACACAAGTCCTTACTTAATAAAACTGGTTTATTCTTTCCCAATACAACTTTACGATACACTTATTTTCAACAGTCGCGCAATAACAAACGCTATATCTCACGTGGCCAACAATATTTTGTCCGCATACATTCAATTACTCATTACACTGATGTCCCGTCACGTTGTGAGCGTCTTATATATATACCAACCAGACTAACATATATCTAGTAAATGCTAGGGCATTCTTGAAGGAACAGGATATTTCTAGAAATACGTGGCGTGATACTAGTCACGTGACCTCGCTGACGCAACAGTATAATTATCTAGCGTTAATAATATTTGTAAATCTAAGAGCAAAGCAAAATATTCCTGGCACTTTACATAAAATGATGAGTAACAATCGGATTTCTTTTTTCTTTATCAACAAATTATAATTAAGTATATGTTCCATTGTGCTATTCGTACAATGCATTAATTTAAACAAGTTCTTTTATGGGGGGTCTGTGACGGATTTACTATTATATATTTATTTTAATAT